AATTCTCGTAGGAAGCGGCCCCACTTCCACACTCACAAGGTGAATTCTATCAAGGATGTTTACGTAACTCCAACACCCCACGCATTCGGGCTATAGAACTCATTAAGAGATCAAAGTCTCAACCTCACAATTCGTTACGAGCTTTATTAGTGCACACGCACCATAGGCATGGATAATAAAAGTGTGCACTTTTATCACTATCAAGTTGCTTTCAGATTCGTTTTTCTTCGCCTAGTTCGTAGGATCTCTAGCCCCTAGGCGGTAGTATCCTCATCAACAACTTTACAAAATATATTAGGCTTTAATCCAAACCCCCTCGATGCATTTCAGATTATTTCTGAAATAATGTGAAATATAATTTCACAAATTTAATAGTGCTTATCCGACATTTAGTCTCAAAAACTCAATGGTTTATTAACCATTCTCAAATAATTTTACATGTAATATCTCATAGATTTTCACGTGAATATTCACATAAATTCACAGTACTGTATTTACTTTTAATGGTTCGGGATTCCATTAAAAGATTCTCGCAATATGCCAACTGCAGTTTTTCAATCTCATTTATCAAAGCACGAAGCATTTGATTTTTCTCAATCATATTTATCAAAGCACAAAGCATTTGATTTATTCTCACTAAGATCTTATGTATCACATTCGGTATCAATCGGCCTCTTCACAGGCTAATGTCAAAACAATCAATCAAAATTGATATGAATTTTGACTTATAAATTATCGATATAGCTCATTCACACAAGGAAAACATGTAATCAAGTAGGAATATAATTCCTCTTATTTAGATTTTCAATAACCAACAATATTGAAAACTTACAAAAACGTTTTACTTCACACATCACAAATCACAAATTTATTCTCGCAAATCAATATCCACTTTTAGCCATTCGTAAATAAAATCTATGTCACGTATATGCAAAATTAGGCCTTTACTAATTACTTGCATATTCAAGATTGCAAATAAAGCATAATGTATCACATTATCACTATAAACAATTTGCGATCATAAAATAAGCAATTAAGCATATACCACATTAAAATCAATTAAAACATACTCATACAAGTAGACACTAAAAAACCCCACTATTTCTCAATACTCAAAGCATACCAATGAATCATGAATCAAAATAAAATGTATTGACTCTGATATGCTCATTTTCGCAATTAAAATTTAGTACTAATACCCTCACTATTTCTCAATATTAAAAGCATATTGAGCAATTCATAAAATGTTTAAACATATGCAACAGTACCTCTACCAAATGAATCATGATTAAAGTTAAGATACCAATTATAATCATGCTTATTTCTCAAATAGAGGCAATAGCCATAATCTCTTTATACTTTAAAAAATTATGTTAAAAAAGAAATAATTTATCAAAGTTATTTTCTGAATTTAAAAACCTTGGACTCTCATTAGTCATTACTGCCACAATAAAGACAAATTACGTGTCTTTTAAAATTACTTCTACAAGCATGCTTATGCAAATTAATTTACATAAACTACTGGCATAATCGTGCATTAAATATTACTTTATTTTAGCAAATATAACCGATTACTCAGGCAAATAAATACAAGCAAAACATTTCAATATTTTGTTTTTTTTATTTTCTTTTGAACGGTCCATCACTAATAATATGCATTAGTAGCCAATGTAATTGGAGCAATTAAATAATAATAAATGCATTATTTGAGATGTGTGTATCAATTTTTCATGCTGCTAATATTTGACACTAAAAGCAATTCAATCTCTCATGCATCATCGTACGGGACTCATGCAATTTATGTATTGTTCATAAAGGTCAATTAACAAGCATTAAAATTTGACCACTAAGAATTTTCTATCTTAGTTCCAGAAATATATATTATTCTATCGCAGAAAATAATCATAGAAGATGAACATACCAGATTTGATAATTCGCACTTAGATACCTCAATATTCTATGGATTCCTCAAAAATCGCACAATTTGACAGCTCTAGCCGTGCTCAGTATTTGGAGTATATCTCTCTCGTTCGGTGTTCGATTTCAGTGATTCAAGATGTTTCGAACAGCCAACAAAAATGCCTACAACTTTCGTGTTTTACACATTCTCAGAATATGATTATATCAGGTCCGAAATTTGACTCAAAGTCTGCCCTCGTGAATTGTACGAAAATTCACCTATACAAAAAATAAGATCGTTAATTTTTTTTCGTCAAATCAAAATACAATAAAAATATAATTTATCATCTCCCTTTTTATCATCAAGAGCCTGTTTTGGATCATCGTCAAAACTCATCTTCATGGGATCAAAATTTCGTCTTAAATTGTTGGAACCACGGCTGCAATTTGACGATTGACCACGAAACTTGTGGATGAGGCTTAGACTCCATTTGTTCTCTAATTTTATAGGTAACAAGTTGCTGCAATAAAGACCACCATAATATGGAGATACGCAAGGTGAGGCGCGGACTAAGTCGCTTTCTTAAGACGAATTTCACGACCCCTTCTCTAATGAGGTGCAATAAGGTTCCAATCGTGTCGCCTATGGGATACAACAGTCCAACCTATCTCTCCGCTGCAACTTCACCGAAATTGCACGTTCGAGTGAAGTATATGCTTACACCCGACACCCAAC